AATAGGCAAAAGGCATTTTCCTCTTAAACTTAGGATTTCTTGAGCTACCGAAAGGCATTTTCCAGCTTTCCAAAGCTTTATAAGGGATTTTTATTAAACGTAGGACTTAAGCGTACAGTGAGTTTCCAGGCAGCAACCAAACATCTGAACATGCAAGTTAGCCACAGGAGTGAAGCCACAGTGTCCGTGCAGCAAGGGAAACTCTGGCTCTCAAACCTTTCACCTCTCAGGCATTTTTTAGCATCTCCTAAAAACACACACACAAAACCCACCTTCCCCTGGAGAGGGCCACCCCACATTATGGCAGCCCTGCTGGAATGGTGATTTTTAATGCCCTCCTGCAGGCACAGCCTCTTGGAAGAGATGCCATTTACACCTGAAAGGACAATTCAGGGTCTTTATTTGCATTTAAAGAATTTTCAGGGTAAAAATAACACATAGGCTGCCTTCTGCCAAGAGAAGAGTTGTTAGTGAGGGTCAAAAGAGGTAAATGGAGCCAAGCCCCAGACTGGGGAGTGGTATAGCAAGATTTGTCTGTCTGCTGAGTGTGAGCTACAGACTCATCTCTTTCTAGATCAACATTGAGCTTGCCATTTAGAGCATGCAGCTCTTGCAGGGACTTAGAAATAAGGTTTGGGGTCAGGCTGATTTTAATTAGCCTGATCCTGATCCAGTTTATCCATCTTTATCACTGCCTTAATCAGGTGATTGCTATGACTGCTGTACTATTTATGAACCCAACATTTTCCTTCTGAAAGCACTACATCTCTACAGCCTGCAAAGCTCAAGAACAAGAATCCATATTAAGTAGCAGAGACTGCCTGTAGTTTGTGCTGAAATGCAGCAGTATGCTAAATAAGGCTCTTGCAGCCCAAAAAATCCTCCATGCATGAAGAAATGCAAACCATGGACAAGATGTGGTCACTGCTCCTTGCCAGAGAAGCAGGACTGGAGCACCCAGTCCACAGCACCCACTCATCCCTGCTTTGCCTGGTACAGTCCTCCCTGACTCTAGCACTATGTTCATATGCAGGAGGCCAAAGGGGCAGATCCAGAGGCCTCCATGCACTTGCTTTCATTCATCAGCTGGGTAAATGTGTCAGCCGCAAACATCAGGTTTTGTTTGCCCTCCTTGCCATTTCAATTGCTTGCTGAGAGTTATGCCTGTGCTCAGTTCAAACGGCGCTTTTGAAATAAGAAGAGACCAACCCTCTCTCTGTCAGGGCAGATGCTCCCCAGAGCCTCGGTGCTGGCAGGTCTAGGAAGCAACAGTAAGAAGTTTTAGTCCTGACTGAACCTGTGGGGTGCTGAGGAGCCAGGAACCCACCTGGATCTAAGAAACCTCAGATAGATTAGACAGGTTAGGGAAAAAACATGGTTAGCAAGAGCTCCCATGTGGTTTTTCCACTCTGAGTGCTCTCACATGGTGCACAAGATGCGCTGGGTCCAGCCAAGTGCAGGGCACAGCTCCAAGGAGGCTCCCCAGGGCCATCCCTGGGGGAAGGGACAGCTCATCTCTGCAGCCTGCCATGTCTCCAGCATCT